GTTTTAACGAACAGATCATTGTTGTGGTCGTAAAACAGTCCCAAACCTATCATACGATAGACGGTTCCCATGAAGAATATATTGCGACAAACCCTCATGAGATCGTCATCGACGGCATCGATGGCACACTTGTTGTCATTAAGACAAACACCTTTGCAGTCAATGAAATCGCAGTCACTGTTGTCATTGCAATGACTGATCCACTCAATGGAGTCGATGACCGCTTTCTTGGTGTATATCATGTCTGAGTCGATGAGAACCACTTGTTGTGCCATAAGAGCCAAGTGTTCAAACTTAATGTCACACAACTCTAACTTAGGCTTCAGATCAATGAATTGTCTCAAGAATTGCATTATCTTGAGACCAATGTCTATGCGCTGCTCCAGAGGTCGTGACATTAGTGGCCAATAGTGTGGAGTGAAGTAAGAGATGTCCAGAATATGATCGGCATATTGGACGGCATAGAAGTGACCACAAGTGCCCACAACTGATGGAAATATCGTTGAATACACTTTACTTAAGACAAACTCATTGTCTTGTATGAGAAGCCATATATTAATGAGAGTTGTTTCCGTCAATTGGTCCACATTTGTGACAATGGGTTCGCCCATCAGTTTGTTTATGAAAAACAGATCATCACTTGAATTGGCGGCCAATCCTTCCCTCGACAATGAATTACCAAACCTTTCGGCCATCACTTCATTAACGGCTTTAATAATCAAAGTCTTATTGTCTTTGAAATACTTCTTCCAACCATTGCTTCCAATCAATTCAAAAGTGGTTAGAGTTCTGGCCTTTAATACCATTTTGTGGACCTTTTGCTTGTCATACAAGTGGCCGACGAAGACGTAATCCTTGCCGTTATGGCCATCAATGTTGGGACAGTCCGTGAGTTGCAATGTCTTCGTGTCACACAATGGTTGACACAAATCGCCGGTAAATTCATGTCTTTTATACGACAAACAAATCTCATTCATAGCCTTCGCTCGCAATTCATTGCACTTTTGATTTGTTGAGTATTTCGTGAACTTATTTATTATGAAAA